GTATCTAGCCCACAGTGCTTATTTTACAGATATGGAACCTAATGCTTAGAGAAAAGAATACATTTGCTCAGGTCACCAAGTCAAATAGAGTTTGGTTCAATTCATGTAATATATATTTATTGAATGCTTCTTTAGATCTAAAAGTATGGGGTCTTTTTTTTTTTAAGTTTCACGGTTTTATTAACAACACAAATACAATGTGCACACGAGCTGTCGATTCATTTTCTTCACTGTGCAGCTTGGCATTGGTTTACTGGGGAGAGCACATAGTTGGGTTTTGCATTTTTATCCAATCTGACAATCTCCATGAAACCACTAAATTCTACCTGGGTAAAACCCCTCTCTTCTCCATGGCCTGGATACTCTCTCCAGGCAAGAAGCTGGAGTGATTGTAGGGCTCACCTTATTTGTTTACTCTCTTAGAGATTACTGTTCTTTGTTGACTGATGTACAGTGTCTTGAAAACCACTGTTTTACACATTTTGCCCTTGTTTGTTTTGTTTTGTTTTTCCTTTCAGGTGGTAGGGTAAATCTGATTCTTATAATTCCAACTTGTCTTGAGGCACAAGTCTTAACACTTCACTCTTTTAGTATTATAGACTCCTTCAAGGCTATAACCTACAACCTTCTTCAAACAAAAGTTCTTAGGTTACTAGAACCACTTCCCATGGAGAGCTGAAAGTGCCTGTAAGTTTACAAATCCCTGGAGCAGCCAGCAGCCAGTGACTGGTTCAGGAATATGAAAGCTTAGATCCTTTGAGATAAACTTTTTTGTAATTTATGCTCTAGAGCTCCCTGGGACCACGCTGATGCTGAAATCATACCTTTACTTTTCTTACTCTCCTTTCTAGTCCTGCCTTCCTGACTCCCTTACTAGTTTCATATTGAAGCATATTTCTAATAAATCATTTGTACCTCAACCCATATTTCAGTGTCGACTTTTGGAGAACACAACCTAAAATTAACCTGCATTTTAAAATTGCTCTTCTGTAAAATGTTTCCTTGATTGGTCTACCTTACTATCTTGCTTTTGCTCTCACATTTCTTAAACTGTTCACTTGCCTAAAAGAACTTTAGAATTGAAGTGTGGAGGTGAATAGATATTTACAATATATCCAATCAAACTCCATCATTTAATAATGAAGCAATTGAGGCTCAGGATGTTAGATAAATAACTAACCCATGTTTCCATACCCTAAGAACAACTGAGGCAAGTTCAAAATCAGGTTTTCTGATCCAGGTTTATCCAGGTAAATGTAATCTTGCTCCTAATTTCATTGTGATCAGGTTTTACAAGCTATTGGATAGTATGTTGCAACAGCAACATATGAATATTGGCAGATATGAATGTTTGTGCAAACTTTTTCTGCAGGTACAAGTTTGTACTTGTACTAGTTTGACTGCCTTCCTCATTTTATGATCTTTGAACATTAACCCTTATAAAGGGTAAAGTAAGTAAACACGTGCATTTAAAAAAATCTTTTAAATTTAAATCTAAAACCAAAATTCACATCTTCTCTTTCTCTCCTCTTCTCTCTCTTCCTCTTCCTCTTCCCCACTTCCCATCTTCCCTTTTCCTCCCTCAGTCATAGGCAATGTGAATTTGAAGTAAAAATCACAGAGTCTTCAATACTGGTGGCCATGATGAACTTTAACAAAGAGAAGAAATGGAGCTACCTCTGGATTCCATATTTTCATCTTTTTCAGTTTATTCGTATTTTGTAACACATCCTTCAGTAGTTTTTTTAATTTTACTTTCTGGTAGATTTCCTTAAGTTTATCTTCCAACTTCTATTGACTTTATTTCTGTCATTATATTTTTACTTTCCAGTATCTCTTTTTATTATCCAAAAGTTCTACTTTTAGATAGCCTTCTGTTCTTGTTTCATGTAATCACCATCTTCTCTTATTTCTTTGAAGAAATTAACATAATGGATTTTTTAAATTATTATTATTCTGTTCCCAGCATTGACTATTTTCTGTAAGTTCTTTTTATCTACTGGTTTCTTTTTGTCTCTTTGATGTTAGATATTCTATATCTTAGAATGAGACATAAAAATGTTTATTTGCAGCTCTAGGTGGAATTTATTTATTTATATTAAGATGATGTTTATTGGTAGGAGTAACATTAAAGAAGAGTTTTTCATTTTTGGTACTACTAACGTTTTAGATAGATAATTATTTTGGGAGGCAGTGAGGTGGGCCATGGAGGATGTGCTGTCCTGCGCATTGTAAGATATTTAGTAGCATTCCTGGCTCCTATCAACTAGATGCCAGTAGCACACCTCTCCCCTACTTCCCCCAGTTGTTTACAATCAAAAACTTCTCCAGACATTTCCAAATGGCCCCTGGAAGCAAAATCATCCCTAGTTAATTACCACTGAATTAGGGTGATGAAAGTTTTGAGAATTTCTTGGAGAAGTTCTCCAGTTTTGGGCTTTTAGAGTAAGGCATATGAACCTGGTTACCAGCATTCAGAAGCTAAGGAGAGGAATGGATCTGGGAATCTCACCAGTTAATATAGAGACTTTTGACCTAATCTCTGTGGTAGGCAGGATAATGGTTTCTCAGAGATGTCCACGTTCTAGTCCTGGGAACCTGTGAATATATTCTGTTACATGGCAGAGGAGAACTAAGGTTGTAGATAAAATTAAGGTTGAAAATCAGTTGAACTTAAAATGGGGAGATTACCATGGATTATACAGTTGAATTTAAATATAAAAGAAGGCAGCAGAACCAATGTTAGAATGATGCAATGTAAGAAAGACCTGATTGAGGGGATGGATACAGCTCAGCAGTAGAGTGCATGCTTAGCATACAGAAGGTCCTGGGTTCAATCTCCAGTACCTCCTCTACAAATGAATAAATAAACTGAATTACCTCCCTCTACCAAAAAAAAAAAAAAAAAAAAAAAAAAAAGAAGGAAGGAAAGAAAAGAAAAGAAATAATGGAAATAAACATTCATGTTCAATTACCTTGTTTAACTATTTTTATTTTTAGCTGACATTTTAGTGGACCCTAACTATGTAATAGATTTTTGGATAGATACTCACATGAATTATATTATTTGAATCTTAAAGTAACCTTAGGTTAGATACTAATTTCATTCATATTTTATAAATAAAACAGATGCCTGATTCTCATGAAAAAGCTAATAAGGAACAGAATTGGGATGGAACCCAATTTCTGACTTCCAAGCCTATTTTCCTAACTGATTATGTAATCTTGCTAATTTTCACAAGTTTCACTCTAGCACAGGGGTCAAATCCAGCCTGACACTTGCTTATAAAATTTTATTGGAACACAGCCACATCCATTCATTGACTATTGTTTATATCTGCTTTTGTGCTACAATGTTAGAGTTGAATAGCTAAAATAGTGAAAATCCGGCCCACAAATCCTAAAATATTTACTCTCTGATCCTTTATGGAAAGATCTGCTGACTCCTGCTCTAGAAAATAACCTTATTACTAAGTTTTGAGGTCATGGTGTCATCAGGTACCTAAAACTATCGGTCATGGTTAAAAAGGAAAGTCTCTAAACCAATCTCCTTTGTAAAGTCTTTCCCGTACTCAGTCATATTTGCTCCCTTTTCTGTGCTCCTACCTCAGTTACTCTAATTATAGTACTTAATGCAATTTGATTCATATGAGTTACTAGTTGTGATTCCCCTAGGATCTAGCAAATTCTGCCCCTGAGTAGATACTTACTTAATGAGTATTTATTAAATACTTTCTAAGCGTCTGTGCTAGACAGTGGAGATACAAAGATGAATATGGCAACCCGTGATTAATGTATAGTCTATTTAATTAGGTACAAACAGAAAAGAAGCTGAGCATGGAGTCTGAGCCTATGTCCCTGTATCAAATGCAGCAAGATCACTGGAAGTACTTGGGTAACATCCCAGACCTACTGAATCAGAATCTCTGGAGGTGAGGTCTAGTAATCTGTTCTCTTTGTTATGTCTTTGAATTTTACTTAAGCAGGAAAGTTGGAGAATTACTCAATCAGTAGATAGGAAACACTGTCTCTAAATGTGTGTTATGAGTAAGAACAAATCTCATACGATCTCCCTTAATACAAACCAATTTCTGTCAAAATGTGATCATGTGTTGCTCACTTCTTGCATCCACAAGATTAGTAGACATGCTTAACTAAGAACTTAGACATTGTTCCCACCTCTTACTAAACTTCTTTTTTTCCACCACTGTAGCCCCGAACCTGACACAGTTCCTAGGACATAGCAGTTATCAAGAATTTGTGTTCAACTGTTGAATATCCAAAGTAAACCTCTCCAAATTGTACTAGTATACAGAAATAAGAGTTTTTCCCATTTTAGACTGGAATGGTATGAGGATCATTGAGTACAAGGAAGATAACACACCCAGGTAAATGTTTGGTCAACCCACATCTTGTTTTCCTCCTTCTAGAAATGCTCCCTTCAAATATTCTGGGCCACTGCCTTAGGGGAATATCAACCCCTCACCCCCAGACTGAGCTAGACCAAGTGGACTAGGGGAAAAGGTCAGGCATTACGGATTCTTCTTCATTGCAGATAATCTCTTTCTGTAGACTTTAGTCTGCATTTTGAAAAGGATTACCTACCTTCGAGGATGATAGATACTCAAGTTATTTGCAATAAGAGGCTTATAACAATGGACTCTTGCCGTACCTGACATAGATCTACCCCTCCCACTAGAACTGTGAATTATTTTGCTGGAGGCTACAACATTCTGAGCAGTTTGCTGGGAGTTGACGGGAGGTGGGGATAACTCACCGGGTACAAGCTTAGCAGAGCTGAGCCGCTGCAGCTTGTTGGGCTAGCCTTTGATGCAGACTGGTTGGACGGGTTCTGGATCTACAGAAGAACCGGTCTGACTGGCCTGTTGTGCCAACATATTCTGGTTTGATTCCATGTTCCACAGACGGTAGAAACCTGCCCAGCCAGTTAAATGAAAGGCATATTAGGTTATCCATTGCACACCTTATATAGCTTAGATGCAGCAGAACTCTTCCACATAGCAGTAGTGTCTAGCAAACTCTAGTGTGGTCCAGAGAGGTGTCTCCCACTGATTTACTGTGTAAGTTTATAGCTTTAGGGAAAGTCAGCAGTGAAAAACACCTTCTGCTTTTGACCAAGAGCAGAAGTTTTCTAAATAAATTGAAGGGTAAGTTAATATATTTTTTATCTTTCTCAATTTTCTATGTACTTTTTGAAGGTTAAATTAAGAAATGATGTTTAAGAAGATATCTATTTTTAACATGGTAATACTTGCATTATATCCTTTATACAAAGCTGGTTAGATGTTGTTTTATAATACTTGCACATATGTTCACTGATTTGTTTAGGTAAAGGTTACTTGGTATATAATACACTTTTGCTATACTTTTTTGTAAGGTGGGCATGGCTATAGTCATTAAGAAAGCTGGGTTAAAGAATTTTGCTAAATTTATTTTACCTATTGATGTAATGATTCATCTCAAGCCATCTACACCTTTGATAATATACTATTATGTTTTACAGGCTGTTGCTATATAGTAACATTTTATATCGCAAATCTAATTGTGGATAAAATAATAACTGTCTTTTTAAGGCACACAAAAAAAGTGCTGGCTTGCTTGGTGATCCTAAGTACATTAGAAGAACAATTCACTGCAAGAAGTGAGGAGTGTGAAAAACAAAGATTGTGGAATCTGGTAACTGATTAACTATTGGAGCTCAAAAGCACTTGCTGAGCTGAATAGAAAGGAATGAAGACAGGTTTTATCATGCCTATTAGGTTTGAAAACCTTTTTAGGTGAAAGAATATTTGGATCTTCCTTTAATTTATATTTTAAAATAATTATTTTACCTCTCTCTTTCATTGATCCAATTAATTTATTTTAAAAATTTGTGTCGTTTAAAATGAAAGTTACCAACCCCTTTAGATTTACTTTGACATACCAAACTACCCCCTTAGTTATTAATATTAGACTGAATTGAATGCACACATCTTCTGGGCATTCAATTTAATATAAAAGCTGACATATGAAATTTACCTGGGAATTAAAATAACTTTTAAAAACAGATTTATACTAAATACTTTCCTTTCAAGGATTATCTGTAGGCCATCATGACTTGCCTCAAATTGAGCAAGACTGATGCATCCTTTTCATTGTCCCTATAGAGTCCTCACTTTGTCATTTTGTTCAAACTCAAAGGCTATAAGAGTTCCTTTAGGATTGTAATAAAGAACTTTTACAAAGTGAGAATAAATGTTCAGATGAGATTTCATTTTTTGCAGGGAAATCTTTTGGATGCTTTTTAGTCCTACTCCATGGCAATTCTGCATAAAACTTTAGACAATTCAGCTGAATTTCTAAAAAGCTATGTAATGTTGAATCTGCAAAAGGAATGTGCTGATTCAGCAAACCAAAAATCAATTTTATTCAGCATTAACTGTATTCTGACAATTTTTGGAGACTGTGGATCAAAATTTTTAGTCGGTTGAATTGTTTTCTTCTCAATTTTCAGGCTAGATATAGATATATGTCAGTAGAGTATACTTTTAGGGTTTCTGGTAAATATATATATATTTTAAAAATTTAAACCATACTATGTTTAATATACAGGGCTTGCTGTTTGAAGATAAACTTAATTCGGGATTCAAACTTATTTATTAAGCATTTTTTATGTTTATGGCTCTGAGGAAAGCTATTTAGGAACTAGATATATATTTCATATAAAATTTGTGGGTAAAATCTCAAGTCTAACTACATTTTGGAGAGATTCTACAGTTTTCACTTAATAGGATTTTCGGTTTCAAACATAAGAAAGTCCTTTTAATTTGACTTTTATGTACTTTCCATAAATTGATTCCTCTAAAATATTGATACATTGTGATATTTTTATTAAAATTAAGGATATATGGATTTATCAATCAAATAAGGAGAGTGTGTGTGTGTGTGTGTGTGTGTGTATGCATTAATATAGTCTTGTATTATCTGAGTGTCCAGGTCAAAAAGTGTTCTGGTCATTTAAAAATCTTTTTTTCCTCTGTTTACTTGGGGATGCATTCCTTTGTCTTTATTTCTGGCCACACAGTTTCACACAATGACTCTTTTTGTCAACCATGCTAGCTTTCTCAACAACTATAACCTCTCCCCTTCCTGAAAATATTCATGTGTTTCCTACCAAAAGCACTTAGAATCATAACATTTTTGAGCTAGAAGGACTCTTACAATTACTAATGAATTCAATTTCTCTTTTAGTTGAATGAAAAGACCAAAATGTAGCTAAATCACTACTACACAATCTAAGGGTAAATGTGGGACCATAACATCTCAGCTTCCTGAATACCAGTGTAAACTAATATTTTTTCACTACTCTACATTAACTCTCTAAATAGTACATGAAATCTATGTTTTCTGAAGGATTTGTTAAAAAAGTAAAATTGTGTTGTATAAGTTAAGGAGTATTTGCTGAACTAAGAAATTATTTGCTTTTATATTTTAATCTATATAATTATTTCCCCCAAACTTTTTTGATACAGTGGCTGAATTTATGAGGTTGCCATTGGCAGTGAAGGTAACTACTTTTCAAGCCCTAATCTCTTAATGCTATCACAAAATATTGCATCAAACTGGTAAGAGTACCTCACATTCCTTCATATTTGCCCAGATTATCTGTGGATCCTGCTGTCATTTTCTGACTTATTATTGCTTTAAATTGTCTCAATTGTTCATTTTGTTAGTATATTTGTATGTATTTTTGTATTATTTTAGTCACTTTTATGTGGATATAGTTTAAGATTTGCCTAAGAGGTCAGTACTTCTAAAATTTGGTTAGAACTGACAGGAAAATGTCAATAAAGTTATGAAGACCAGAACTGCAGGTTTCAAAACCCATCTTAGAGGTGATAGAACCTGTTATTTAAAGAGTGAGATCTTAATACAGTGCTTTGCACACAAGTGCTTTGCACAAGTGCTTTAAATGTTTTTAACTTGAGGAATTCCAAGGAAATAAGACCACAGAAAGCTTGAGAACCAAAGGCTCAAAATTTTCAGTTCTGATTCTTGGAGCTAAAAGGTAATTCTCCTAAGCCTCTTATCTTTTCTCAGGTAAAATCTTACCAGAGGGATGCTTCTAAATTTGGTAAATTTAATCCAGTCCAAGTGGACTCTAGAAAAAAATTACTTCTATTTGTTTCTTCTCTTTACAATCAAAAGAAATGGCAGTATATTGAAAAACATATGGGCTTTTGAGCCAAACTAAAATGGGTTTGAATACTGACTCTGCTACAAAGTAGTTTATCTTTGGGAATTATTTAATTCTGAGTTCTTTTTTCTCCATCTGTAAATCAAGGAGACTAATACCATTCCCTAAGAGCTGTTGGAAAGATCAAATAAGATATTGTATGTAAAAGCACCTAGCAGAGCTTCTAGAACATAGTAGGTACAGCACGTCAATATTCATCCCACCTCTTTAATAGACTATATAATAAATTTCAACAAATACCTTGAGTAAGAGAAGTGAAAGCTTAATTTAGAACATAGATTTTTTTGTCAGAACTAAAATTAAATCAGCAAACTTGGAAAGCATTAAGATTTAATATTGGAAAATATTTTAATCTTATTAAATTAAAAAAATTAGAAACCCATATAATTGAATCAAATTAAAGAATTGGTTCAAAGAGACCTTTGTTAAACATATTTTGAGAGCAATATACTAAGGTGATTAAAAGGCTCAAAGAATTTTTAAAAATTCAAATTTCAATCATCTATACCAAAGGAAGGAATTGTGACATAGCCCAAATTATACCTTATTTGTGCCTAGTATCTGAGTTTTTCAAAGGCATTTTACATATATTTATATCTATTATTTCATATGACATCAGATTAGTTGGCCAAGGATTTCTATATGCTCTAAGGATTGTGCTCTTTCTACTGTTTATTGAATTATTTCTTCAGAGCTGTAGAGTATGTTGTTCCTCCAAAAGATTCTCTTCTGAATTAACTTACTGTAAGTCAATATTAAGTTATATTGCATTATCTTGAGAGGAAATAATGATAGGGTGAGTGAGTCTAAAATGTATTAGATTTAAGAAGTAAGATAGAATAGGATTTAACATTTTCTAAAAATAATATTAAATTAGCCTCAGTCTGATAAATTGACTAGGAGATGGAGTCAATGTTCAAAGTTCACACATGAGATGTTTATAAAATGTATGGTCAGAAGGGAGTTCAGAATAGTGTGAACAAATATTCTAAGAGCTTACCTAACTAATGTTGGGTCAATTGACACATCTTCTAATGTGTGAAGAAAGAACAGGAAAGAGGTTATGACTTGATATTAGAACCAACAAATAGATCCACTTATAACACAAACTAATCTTATTGCACTCTTGCAATCAACTTTAATTTCCTGAAAGATGTTTAATTGCTATACAGATAAGCTTTATGTGAATACTACAATTTGAATTAATATCCACGGTAAGTGCATTCTGGTTTTCTCTTAAATTGAATAGCCTGTATGTAGATGATATACCTAAAGATAAAAGTACCACTTCACCAATTTAGCCCACTAATTATACATTCTTATTAAAACTATTAGATACACAACCAATTTAACTTTATGCTACTATTCATTAAATTAGTATTTAATCTGCATTTAATTCATACATTCAGAGGTGATATTACTATAAATAATTAAAAAGAAGGCAGGGAGTAACAAAATTAAAATATATTTTTAAAATGTTTATATATAAATAGCTAATTTGGATAATATAGGACTAACGACTAAACTTGCTATGCATCAAAACTAACTGGGAAATAGAAAACAGTATAGCTCATCATGTTAAACACATATAGTCTTAAAAGTAATCAGAAAATTGTTATCTTAGAAAATTATGTATTAATGACAAAGTGAAAATGCAACTTATGGCAAATTTTTATTTCAAAGTTATATCTTAAGTCTACTCTCTTGAAGGTTCTTTGCCTATCCTTTTTATAATGATTTAGATTAGGAGTGAGAAACCTTTCCTATATGAGAATATTTTAAATCTAATAAATTTCTAAATGAAACTTGAAACATTAAGAAATACAAGACTGATAACTTTCTACAGCTTGCAGTACAATATTTATGGACATGGAACAATAGTACAGAGTTCTGTCATGAGGTCTTCCATAA